TCCTTCATACATACCAAAGGGACCTTTCCTGAAATGTAAACAGTTGGCATCTGCTGAACTATAATCCCTAAATCAGAAACACAAATGTTTGGATTAACAAAAAATGGAAAGACTCATTCTTTATTGTTGACCTCCCGGTACATATTTTTTCACTTTTGGTGTTGTGTGCATGACCAGCATTCTTTATTCAGGACTGGAAGCGCAGAGAGTTTTTGGCGTAGTGACCACAAAGGACAGTGGTGATTAAATTCAAGCAAGCATAAACCCTCAGTGATGTTCACTGACTTCAGAAGATTTGAAATCAAGCCTTCAGTTCAATGGTACACATGTGATGCAGGATGAAGCAACTGAGATTTGATACCCTTAAGAATCAGATAAATAAAAGGATATTTATTTTACCCCTTTAAAAGAGTATATTGATCTGAGAAAGGAGGAACTTGAGGAAATATAAAATACAAGCTTGTGAGCACCATCATTGAAATCTGTTTGGTTTTATACACAGAGTTTTATCATCCCACTGCACCAGGGACTGTGTTCAATAACTGTTAAGTGAAAACACCAGATCTGAAATTACTGTCTGTCATATGTACAGTGCATATATATGTAATACAGAATGAATTTGTACAGAATATTCCATTGTACAAACTAAAGCTTTAATAATGAGTGAACTGCATTAATTGGAATGCTGAGGGAATGAAATTTTAAATTATTCTCCAAAGTAATTTATTTTTTGATAAATAGTGGGGGTTTTTTTCTTGAAGAGATTAAATACACAGCTATTGAAAAGCACTGAAAAGTTGGAGAAAAATGAGAATGAAGTTGTAGGTGTTGGTGCTGAGAGCCAGGGGCACAAGCAACAATCTTGGAATGTCTGCCTTTTCTGGTTTGTGCTGTGGCTTTAGGCTTTATGGATCCCAGTAGGACGAGCCACAATCAACCTGGGGTTTCGTGGATTTCAATCCTACTCTTCCCAAGCCACACTCCAGCCACTGCTTCCAGCCTCACACCAGAGTCTCCAAAAGTTGTTGGAGCTTTTGCAGGTCCATAGCAGAGGGTGAAAGAGCTGAGTGCTCCAGGTCAGCCTACCTGGTGAGGGGCTTTCCTGCAGCCTCTGCCCCTAAGGGAGGTGGGTTGGTGGCTGCAGTTGGGTCTGGCAGGGACATCTCTGAACCAGCACCTCTGCGGAGCTGGAGGCGCTCACCAGCTGCTGCCTTGGGCAGGATGACAGGGAAGCAGTCACATTTCCTCTGAACCCTGCCTAGCTGTACACACACTCGTGACAGGTACTCAGTGAACACTCAATTTTTTCCTTTTTGATTTCACAAATCTATTTGGCTGGGAAGTAAATTCTAAGTAAGTTTCAAGCAAGACTGGAATTGTCTACATTAAAAGAGTTTGATGCCTTGAAACTGCTACAAAACAATAAAAAAATAAAATCAGTAAAATACCTCTAAGTGCAATTTTAATTGTTTCAATAAGTTCTTTCAAGTTATATTTTTATGTTATTAATTTCTGAACAGTGGACTTCATTATACTCTGTAAGAAAAAGGGAAGGTTTTCAAATAAGATTGCATATTGATTTTAGGTCTGTGCATTAGAATTTTCATATGAATTCAAAATTATCAAAATAATTACTTCTTGTCTATGCAAACATGAAGGCTTTATCTTCATTCCTACTCTGTCATAACAAATCCAAAATTCTTGGCAGTATAAAAGCATGCCCTGAAACCTATTGTCAATATTCACCTGTTTCCCTTTTCATAAGAGAATTTTACCAGACATCTATCCAGCTACCAGAAAAACTGATTCCAATGGGATACATATATAGTTTATGCCTTAAGAGAAGAAACTCAGCTACTTAATTTTTTGAGAAAATTGTACAGCATTTCAAAAAACCAAGACTTTAAAAAGCAGAAAAGAAACCAGAAGGGAAAAAAAAGGCAAATATAAGGAAAACCCTAATGTTAAAATCCATTGATAAAAATAAATTAGTTATCATGGGTTTAGCTTAGCTTAGGTAAAATATTTGGGGACACAAAAAATATTTCATAAACACAGTGAGATTTTCTGTCATGCAAAATCCTTATCCTTTCTTCAAGGGCCTGTCAAGAAAACTAGGTTTACTACCTAAATTTTATTTTTCAAAGTAAAAGATAGAATGTTCTGAAAATCAAGCTGTCACTAGTTAATGCTGTCAAAATAAAATGTCAGTTTTACACACTTGTTCAATTGGACTTCACTTTTTCTTCCTCCTCATTTTAAATGACGTTTGTTCATTTCTTATTCTCTGGGCCCTTTCTTCAGAGTCCCATGGAAACAGAACATAAAATCAATTATGCCAAAGTTTATGTAGGCTTAATATTGGGATGAAAAATGAAGGTGCGTGATCCTGCTGTCAATAAAATGTATTTGTGTAGTTCTCCATGTAGCACTTTGAATGGGGTGAGTGATAGCAATCTCAATCTGAGAAGAGAAGGAGCCTTATGGCCATATTGTATGGGTGGCTGGTTTTATAATAGCCCAAAATAAAACACTAATTTTCCTTAGACAGATTCAGATTACCAAATGTAGACAGGCAAAGAAACCATGCACAGTGCTGTGGAGTTCCAGGCTTTTTTCCATGTACTGCCCTGCTAGGAAAGCATGCCAAGGATTGTAGTTTATCAAGAAATAGGAGAAATATTTCCTCCAAGGAATCTTTGGGTTCAGGAAGAAGTTCTCATGGTTCCTGTAGTCACTTGAGGTTAGATTATGGTAATTAATTCATATATCTAGCCTTTAGTGCCTCCAGTAAGAATGTCCTCAAAGGCAACCACAGGCAGAAGGGGACAGCTGATGTGCCACGCCATTAGTTGAAATATGTAGATGCTAGGAAAGGTTGTAAATTCACATTTCAGTCACTCTGTGTGTGTGTGTGTGTGTGTGTGTGTGTGTGTGCGCATTGCCTGGCTAACCACATGTGCATCCACAGGGATACTAGATCTCTGAAAGGACCTTGAAAGGACCTTAAATTACTTGCTTTGGCTTTGCTTCTTCCTTTTGATATTGAGCTGCCTATATGAATTGAAAGTGAGAAAATAGTTAATATCTATCTATTCATTGTAGACCCTTCCTGAATGATGACTTGCCTTCTCCTGGCATCCAGAATTGTAGCAGGAAGCAACTGGTATAACCTGCAGCTACAACTACTTCCTGCAGTTCAGCTTCTTTTCTAGAGAAAAGTACTTTTCCTTAATACTGATGTTCAGGCTGAGAAAAAAAAATATGTATCTGAGAAAAGTTACACATGGAACTTCAGCTGTTGCTCCTCTGGATGATAATTACCTGTTTTTCCTACAGAGAATCATGTGAATTGTTTCCTATCATTGCATCCCCATCTTAATCTCTTAATACTTGTCAGTAGGAGACACACCACTTAAAAGAAATTTGCTGCCCAGACTGGGCAATTTCCTTGTCACAGCAATATATTTTTTTTTCTTATTTTGTCTTGTGGTTTCATAAGTGCTAACAGATTCTTACCGAGTGCTTTTTAAAATGCTTACTGATCCACAGACAGAAAAGGTAAACAACAGCTAAGCAATTGGTCTGACAGATAGTACAGTCCCTCAGGAGGCATTCATAACATCCACACCAACACTGAGTTATTCTCTCTCAGGAGCACCATTAGCAGTTATTTCATCACCACTGTGTCTGGAATTCCATAGCAGCAGTCCCAAGGCTGGCCAGTTCTCCTCAGCAGAGGTTAAACTGTAGGCAAAACCACTCCACTGTTAAAAAGAAAGTAGAAACTAGCCTAAAGTGTTAAACTTCCAGTTTAAAGTCCCATTAATATGGACACTTACAGATAAAATAATCAAACTGTGAACACAAGGGAGTAGTGCATTGACTTATTTTTAATTGTGTAAAAAGGGACAGCTTGCATCTAATTTTTTGCTTAGATTAATAATTTATTTTGGTTTAAGTATGTTTTGATCCTGAATTATTCAGAAAAATAATGGTTTTGAGAAGGACACAGTGTCATTAGAAATGGAAGTTGTATATGAACTATGAATGGGATGCTATTTGATGACCAATGTAATCTTGGTAAGAGTAAATAGGTAAATAGTATTCAGAAATTGGCAGGTTTTTCACATTTGTCAAATTTACTGGAAAGCCATGCGCCTTTATGGTTTGTTGAAAAAGGTATAGAAAGTTAAAAATAGGTACAGAAAATAATTCTGAAAATAAAAAAAAATACAGGAAAATGTACCAATAGTGAAATACTAAATAGATTCTTAGCTATTAAATCAGTCGAGAAAAGACTGAGAAGTAACTTGACTACAGCCTTCAGGTACCTACAGGCAAAAAGTATTCCTGACAGCAAAGAGTCTTCTCAATTAGGAGGAAGGAATGTGTAATTAGCTGGAGCCAAGAATTCCAGTCTGTTCCCCCATCACCAAATTAACAATGAGAGCTTTCAGCCATCAGAGCCATCTGGGTCTCTTAGAAAGATGTGCTGCATCTCATTCAGAAGCTACAGAGGCTGATAGATAACATTTTGGGACCATGCAGGAGCTTAGACTAAATGCATCATTTCTTCTGCCCTTAATATCTATTTCTGAATCTAAATTAAAAATGGATAAGGTTAACAGAATCTGGCCCTCAGTCATATATATTTTATCATTTAATTACATTTGCATTTGAGGATTATAATTCAGTTCTCTTATGACTTCATCTCTGAAACTTTTCTACAGGATACCAGAAACAGAATATTTCTTATTCTCATGATTAAACTTTGAACCAAATAAAAGTTCTTCAGCTTCCAGCTCTGAATTAGCATGTCAAAAATTTAAACGAATATCATTTTAGCTGCTTTGTTATGAATGAAGAGAGCAATCATATAGCACAACAAAGTGTTAATACCTGTTATAGCCCTTGAGCTATACAAATGTGAGGTTTTATTATGATCATGCTTGATATGCTATGTCTTGACTAAATCTTATTTCATTCTGTTTCTACAGGTTAGTGAGACTTTAATCAAGAAAAAAAATCTAATGAACAGTAATTTGGAACACAGCATTTGGAAAGGTCAGAATGGTACATTACATCCTTATTATCCAAAAGAACAGATGAGTTTAATATCCTGGCAGCATTTTCCTGTGAAGAAGATATTAAACAAGAGCTGAAAATGGTATAAGGTTCTTGCTTCCTTTTCTATGACAAAGATTGTAACAAGATGATGGAACTACACAGAATAAATCCCTTTCTGCTGTAATGGTCCCAACTGTGAATTCTGTCTAGTTTTCAAAAGCCTAAGCCAAGCAAAGAGCCAGCATGCATGCTATTTGTTTCAATTCCTTTACAACACACTTTCCTGCTTGCGTGGCCTATTTTCCATTAATATTTTCTAGTTTTGAACATGGGAAGATATGTTAACAGAAGGTGCACAGTGCACCACGTTTTACTTGATATGTTGAACTGCAGCAAATAATGTACTGCATCAGCACTGCTGAAAATACAGATTTTCCAGCTTCTCTTTTAATAGCCTAAGAACAGAGATAATGTATTCCAACACACAACACATGGAGTGTGTCCTGCTTTGGAGAGTCTCTGAAGGTATGAACTCATTGAAGGCAAAGGAATTTGCAGTATATCCAATAGGCTGTTTTAATATAAGAACTATCAGAATTTCCTACCTTAAATTATTATCTACATGAAGACTCTTCCTTTTGATTATAGGTGTAAGGGGGGAAAAACCTTCTGGATGTTGAATTTCATCCCTAAAATACACCATCACGGTCCTCATGTTCAATCTTAGTATGGCAACTGAAAAAGTGCTGTGCTTAAAAATGAAAAAATTAAGTATATAGCATGCCCCTGTATTAGTTACTTATATGCAGTCCTCATGAGATATGATAAATGTGGTATTACCCACAAATGTAACAAGATAGATTTTAAAGATATAAATAATTGTTAAAGAAAACATTTTATATTGTTCCAAAGATAAAAAGTCTTGAAGTATGACTGGCTGAAGGAGACCTACATGGGTTTGCACAAGCTCACAATTAGAAATCATGTTGAACCTCTTTTTCCCACACCAATCTGAAGAAAAACTTCTCTGTGGTACATTACGTGCAGCATCTTGCTGAGAAAAACCATTCTGCTTTGGTCAAGAGAGACAAAACAACCATATCCAAAATATGTTTTCAGCATCCTGACTGAATGTATAAGTATATATTATACTTGTAAGTATATATATTATACTAGTTGGGTTTTTTTCTATTTTCTTTTTTTTTAAGTAATTTTATTTTCCACTGGAGATGGTAAATGTATTTTTCATCCTTTGTTTTGCAACTATACAGAGGATAGCTTTTCAATGCATTGACAATGTGCAATCTATTTCAAAACTTCAAAGGATTTGCAAAACTACAGAAAAAAATCCCTAATAGGTGTTCATTTTGTAGGTGCCTACAGAAATTAATGTTTTCTGTGTGCCTAGAAAAAGTCCAATGGATACAAGTTTCTATCAAGTCCCTTGTTATTAAGCTAATAGTCCTTGAAACTGAAATTACTACAAATAGCTCTCTTCTTCTTCTTAACCAAACATATCAGCCATCCAATATGCCACATACAAAAAATAATAAATAAAAATATTTTTTAGTTCCTAATTATTATTCACAGCATAAATCTGTGAATTTTTATAATTTTTTATCATTTATAACTTTTATAATTGCTAAGAACTCTGATCATATATACTTTTGCTATGAAAGAAATAAAATATTTGCAGTTGTATCCCTCTTCTAAAAGATCATGTTTAGGGCATGGCTGAATAAAAAATCCAAGGTTTTGAGGAGAGATTCAATGTGTAGTCCCACAAAATCTCTAGGATTTCTTAGAGAGTCAGTCCAATGTATCAGATGAAGGAATTGGGGTTTTTTAATACAGTTTTTCATTCTCATGATTGTAAAAAATGTTGTTGCTGTGTCACACAGTATTTAACATGGGAAACACCTTGAATACATTGTGCAGCCTTATTTAGTTCCTCTATAAATTGGATTTTTTTTTCACTATGTGATCACAGTCATGCTTTTTTGAAAAATTACCAAAATAATCAAGTGCATCTTATGAAGCAATACTTGAACTTTAAGAGACACCTCCTTTTATCAGCTGTTTCCAATAAATAATGTGGGGTTTGGACATTTCCATAAAGTCTTTCTTCAGCGGGGATGGTCAATATGCGTTTTGCATAAAACGTTGTGCCCGTGAACCCATGAGAACATCTCCAAGTACAAGGATCATATAATCCTCTGTGAGGTACATTCAATAAATTAACAGCAGAACAAAAATTAACAGACAAAAAAGATGAGGCTGATGGGAAGGTGTCATATTGAAGCAAGATCACAAAAGAGACACATCAAAGCACAACAGGCTATGTGCATGACACACATTCCCACAAATAGGATTTTGTGCCAGGAGTTGCTGGATCATTGTAATCCCAGTAACAAGGACACTCAGACTCTGTGAAATATGGTTTAAAATATTTAAACATTTATTGTAGCTAACACTTTAAAGGAAAAAAGGTTAGCACAGATGATCTTACATCCATTCAGGTGCTGGGAAGCCCAAGTTATGCACCACTGAATGAGCCTCCATGCAGGCTCAGAATCCTGTGCAGATCCTGTCTGTGTAAAGGTTACCCAATATTTCGGTCTTTTGAGTTCCTGTAAGGTCTTCTTAAAACAAAATAACTCCATTAATCATTTTCACTGTCAAAGAAAAAAGGATACACACATGGGAATTTGTTGGTGCGGCTTTAGACAAAGGCAAGGAGTTGGTGTGACCCAGTGGCAGCTGCCCACAGGCTGCTTCATTGCAATCAGGCAGCCAAGCCTGTCCTGCAGGCAGGGATGTGCAGAGCACAGCACAGACCTGGAGCTCGTGCTGTGTGCCCAGCACATTCTGTGTGCCCAGCAATCAGTGCAGGCCTGGCCTGTCTGGGACAATGGCTGTGTGAGATAATAACTCCCCTATAGCAATGGTCTTCTGGTCAGGATCTCAGCACATGTGTGCATGCATACCTGGTTTGCATCTGCATATAAAAACCTGCTTTTGTTCTCCAAACTGAACTGGTAAACAGTATTAAAATCTGCATATATTAAAAACTGCATGTCCACTGCAAACACACCTGTGTACAGGTCTCTATTTATCAAGCTGATGTTGTGCCAAAGTCAGATAGCTTTACAATTACAGAATTTATTGCCACTAAAAGGCTGTGTAAATACATTTTTGCAAGTGTGATTTTTGTGCCTGCAGCTCAAATTCTTGTTATACTTGCATTTGAATTTGTTTTGTTTTGTCACACAGTGTTACTTGGTATTATATGAATAATAATCCATGAGTTAGAAAACAGACTAAAGTCAAAGGAACAAAGTCAGTTGCATTATTAAAGAGAGATTAAAATAATTTGACGTGAAAGGCATTTTAGAGACAATACAGCCTGTCTGACTTGCTGATTTGCACAGAACCCAATACATCATTCAGCTCTGCTGCCACCTGACAGCTGCTCAGCATCTAATGGGAAATGTGAGGGGGGTCACAGTCCAGCTCATAGTGTACAGGTGCTGGCATCACAAAAATCATCATCACAACTGGCACTAATTGGCACCTTTGTTGACAGTCTTGGCAGAGAGGCCACTGACTGAACCTGCACAGAGAGTTCCTTGCAAACTGTGCTGGCTGGGGATGCAGGGCTCATCTCATCCTTCACTTAAACCATCCTTAGTTTTGCACATATTTCCTGGGTACACAGGTCCTGACATTCTATTTGCCTGGAATTTCTGTGAGCATGGACATTACTGTGGCATCTCTCTGGAAGTGACACCTTGCACAGAGGGTTGGACACACCTCAGGGACAGCAAAGGCTGCCAACTGGTGCTGGCCAGCAGAAGAGCCTGAGAGCTTTGGCTTGGGTGGAAGAAGACAAAAGGAGATAAACCAAATGCTGTTCTAAAGAGGAAGCGACATGTGACCCACATAGAGCTCCAGTTTCATACAAGATTTTCTTAATTTTAGTTAATTTAAGATACAACTGTGATTCTGTGAAGTTCTAGTAGCCACTTTTACTCTGTGCTTCAGTTTATTCTTTTGTATGAAGGTCCTATTATTTGTCTCACTCTCAGACATAATATGAGCCTTTGCTAACTGATCAGTGTCCTAAAGTATTTAAACATTTCTAATGGAAGTCAATAGACACATTAAATGTCAGGATTTGAATTTACAGGAACTTTTGTTTCTTAATAATCCTATTAAATGAGTTGCAGGCAGTGACTATTAAATATTTCCATTTTGCATTTATACATCTTTCACACTACTGTAAATACAGCTGCATTAAATGCAGTTTCTTCTGTCACCTCAGCCTATCTTGTCCAAACCTGCAATTAAAACTAATTTTCCTTCAGTGTATAGAAACCTGTACTGTTTGTAGGTTAATTATCAATTTATATTATTTTTTTTGGCTCTGTAAACAAGTCAGTAATGTGACTAGGATTTGAGAATGTTTAAATGGTAACAAATAAAAGCTAAAGAGGATGATAAGTTTGATTGCAATTAGCAGCAGTAACTGAAGTATGGAGATGTTATTGGAGCTCATTACTACCTTTTTCCAAAGTGAAGAAAGAAAGACAGGCAAGTAGGAGGGAAGGAAGGACAATAAACAAAGGAAGTAAATAAAAAGTAGGAAGGCTGGCTAAAAAGAAAGAGAACAGTTCTAATTTCATGTGTATGGAAAAAATGTTGAATTTATTGCACATAGGTTGGTCAGTAGATGGATAAAAGTGAAAAAAAAAAACCCTAGAAAAGTGATAAATGAAATCAGGCAAAATAAATCTTAAAGCACTGAAAAAAAATATATAAAAAGCCCAAGGTTTGTCTGTATCTGAGGAAGAATGTATTTCCATTAGGAACAACAAGGTCATAAGATAATCTCAGCACTCAAAACACCAAGGTTGTAAGATAATAGGAGGCTCAAAACACCACCAAGCAAGAGTCTGAAATTCTCCCCATTGATTTTTCACTTGTGTATTACATATGATCCCAAGGAAATACCTTCTCATTTACATGCATCTACATAAATTCTGGATGAAGCCACCAGCTTTTTTGTGCTCCAGTGTTAACAATGAGCAGTGGCTGCTATCCTGTGCTCCTACAGACACTCTGGAAACAGAGTATGTCATCGTTAGCCTAATGAGGGGAAAGGGGGAGAGAAATTGCTAAATG